TTGGTGTTTTAGTCATGAAGTCTTTGCCCATGCCTGTGTCATGAATGTTATTGCCTAGGCTTTCTTCTAGGGTTTTTATGGTTTTAGGTCTTACATTTAAGTCTTTAATCCACCTTGAGTTACTTTTTGTATAAGATGTAAGGAAGGGATCCAGTTTCGGCTTTCTGCATATGGCTAGCCAGGTTTCCCAACACCATTTATTAAATAGGGAATCCTTCCCCCATTGCTTGTTTTTGTCAGGTTTGTCAAAGATCAGATGGTTGTAGGTGTGTGGTGTTATTTCTGAGGCCTCTGTTCTGTTCCATTGGTCTATATATCTGTTTTGTTACCAGTATCATGCTGTTTTTGTTACTGTAGCCTTGTAGTATAATTTGAAGTTGGGTAGCATGATGCCTCCAGCTTTGTTCTTTTTGCTTAAGAGTGTCTTGGCTATGTGAGCTCTTTTCTGATTCCATATGAAATTTAAAGTAGTTTTTTCTAATTCTGTGACAAAAGTCAATGGTAGCTTGATGGATCTATAAATTACTTTGGGCAGTATGGCCATTTTCACAATACTGATTCTTCCTATCAATGAGCATGGAGTGTTTTTTTTTTTCATGTGTTTGTGTCCTCCCTTATTTCCTTGAGCAGTGGTTTGTAGTTCTCCTTGAAGAGGTCCTTCACATCCCTTGTAAAGTTGTATTTCTAGGTATTTTATTCTCTTTGTAGCAGTTGTGAATGGGAGTTCACTCATGATTTGGCTCTCAGTTTGTCTATTATTGGTGTATAGGAATGCTTGTGATTTTTGCACATCGATTTTGTATTCTGAGACTTTGCTGAAGTTGCTTATCAGCTTAAGGAGATTTTGGGCTGAGACTGTGGGATATTCTAAGTATACAATCATGTCATCTGCAGACAGAGACAATTTGATTTTCTCTTTTCCTAATTGAATACCCTTTATTTCTTTCTCTTGCCTGATTGCTCTGGCCAGAACTTCCAATACTATGTTGAATAGGAGTGGTGGAGAGATGGCATCCTTTTCTTGTGCCGGTTTTCAAGGGGAATGCTTCCAGTTTTTGCCCATTCAGTGTAATATTGGCTGTGGGTTTGTAATAAATAGCTCTTATTATTTTGAGATACATTCCATCAATACCTAGTTTATTGAGAGTTTTTAGCATGAAGGACTGTTGAATTTTGTCGAAGACCTTTTCTGCATCTATTGAGATAATCATGTGGTTCTGTTTATGTGACGGATTATGTTATATTTGTCATTGGTTCTGTTTATGTGATAGATTACGTTTATTGATTTGCCTATGTGGAACCAGCCTTGCATCCCAGGGATGAAGCCGACTTGATTGCGGTGGAGAAGATTTTTGATGTGCTGCTGGATTCAGTTTGCCAGTATTTTATTGAGGCTCATTGATGTTCATCAGGTATATTGGCCTGAAATTTTCTTTTTTTTTGTCGTGTTTGTGTCAGGTTTTGATATCAGGATGATGCTGGCTTCATAAAATGAGTTAGGGAGGATTCCCTCTTTTTCTGTTTCTTGGAATAGTTTCAGAAGGAATGGTACCAGCTCCTTTTTATATCTCTGGTAGAATTTGGCTGTGAATCCATCTGGTGCTGCACGTTTTTTGGTTGGTAGGTTATTACTGCTTCAATTTCAGAACTTGTTATTGGTCTATTCAGGGATATGACTTCTTCCTGATTCAGTCTTGGGAGGGTGTATGTTTCCAGGAATTTATCCATTTCTTCTAGATTTCCTAGTTTATTTGCATAGAGGTATTTAAAGTATTCTCTGATGGTAGTTTGTATTTCTGTGGAATTGGTGGTGATATCCCCTTTATCATTTTTTATCGCATCTATTTGATTTTTCTTTTTTTTTTCTTTATTAGTCTGGCTAGTGGTCTATCATCTATTTTGTTGATCTTTTCAAAAAACCAGCTCCTGGATCTATTGATTTATTTTGAAGGGTTTTTCATGTCTCTTTCTCCTTCAGTTCTGCTCTCATCTTAGTTATTTCTTGTCTTCTTCTAGCTTTTGCATTTGTTTGCTGTTGCTTCTCTAGTACTTTTAATTGTGATGTTAGGGTGTCAATTTTAGATATTTCCTGCTTTCTCTTGTGGGCATTTAGTGCTATAAATTTCCCTCTACACACTGCTTTAAATGTGTGTTATTTGTGAATTTGATCCTGTCATTATTATGCTAGCTGGTTATTTTGCCCATTAGTTGATGCAGTTTCTTCATACTGTCAATGGTCTTTACAATTTGGTATGTCTTTGCAGTGGCTGGTACCAGTTGTTCCTTTCCATATTTAGTGCGGTGAGCCAAGATCATGCCATTGCACTCCAGCCTGGGTAACAAGAGCGAAACTCAAAAAAAAAAAAAAAAAAAAAAAAGAATGTTGAATATTGGCCCCATTCTCTTCTGGCTTATAGGGTTTCTGCTGAGATCTGCTGTTAGTCTGATGGGCTTCCCTTTGTGGGTAACCCCACCTTTCTCTCTGGCTGCCCTTAACATTTTTTCCTTCATTTCCACCTTGGTGAATCTGATGATTATATATCTTGGGGTTGCTCTTCTTAAGGAGTATCTTTGTGATGTTCTCTGTATTTCCTAAATGTGAATGTTGGCCTGCCTTGCTAGGTTGGGGAAGTTCTCCTGGATATATCCTGAAGAATGTTTTTCAACATGGTTCCATTCTCCCCATCACTTTCAGGTATGCCAATCAAACGTAGATTTGGTCTTTTCACACAGTCCCATATTTCTTGGAGGCTTCGTTTGTTTCTTTTCACTCTTTTTTCTGTAATCTTATCTTCTCACTTTATTTCATTAAGTTGATCTTCAGTCTCTGATATCCTTTCTTTCGCTTGATTAATTCGGCTATTGATACTTCTGTAAACTTCACGAAGTTCTCTTGCTGTGTTTTTCAGCGACATCAGGTTACTTCTGTTCTTCTCTAAACTGGTTATTCTAGTTTGTCTAACCTATTTTCAACATTCTTAGCTTCCTTGCATTGGGTTAACACATGCTTCTTTAGCTCGGAGGTTTTTGTTATTACCCACCTTCTGAAGCCTGCTTTTTTCCATTCATCAAGCTCTTTCTCTCTCCAGTTTTGTTCCCTTGCTGGCAAGAAGCTGTAATCCTTTGGAGGAGAAGAGGCATTCTTGTTTTTGGAATTTTCAGCCTTTTAGCACTGGTTTCTCCCCATCTTCATGGATTCATCTACCTTTGTTCTTTAATGTTGGTGACCTTTGGATGAGGCCTCTGAGTGGACACCCTATTTGTTGATGTTGATAACTATTCCTTTCTGTTTGTTTTCCTTCTAACAATCAGGCCCCTCTGCTGCAGGTATGCTGGAGTTTGCTGGAAGTCCACTCCAGACCCTGTTTGCTTGGGTATATCACCAGTAGAGGCTGCAGAACAGCAAAGATTGCTGTCTGTTCCTTCCTCTGGAAGCTTTGTCCCAGAGGGGCACCTGCTAGATGCCAGTCAGAGCTCTCCTATATGAGGTGTCTGTTGGCCCGTACTGGGAGGTGTCTCCCAGTCAGGATACACAGGGATGAGGTACCCACTTGAGGCAGTCTGTACCTTATCTGAGCTCGAATGCTGTGCTGGAAGATCTGCTGCTCCCTTCAGAGCTGTCAGGAAGGGATGTTTAAATCTGCTGAAACGAAACCCACTGCCACTCGTTCCCCCAGGTGCTCTGTCCAAGGGAGATGGGGGTTTTATCTATAAGTTCCTGACTGGGGCTGCTGCCTTTTTTTCCTGAGATACCCTGCCCAGAGAGAAAGAATCTAGAGAAGTAGTCAGGCTGCAGTGGCCTTGCTAAGCTGTGGTGGGCTTTGCCCAGTTCGAATTTCCCCTTGGCTTTGTTTACACTGTGAGGGTAAAACTGCCTACTCAAGCCTCAGCAGTGGCAGATGCCCCTCCCCCCACCAAGCTTGAGCATCCCTGGTCAACCTCAGACTGCTGTGCCGGCAGTGAGAATTTCAAGCCAGTGGATCTTAGCCTGCTGGGCTCTGTGGGGGTGGGACTCACTGAACCAGACTACTTGGCTCCCTGGCTTTAGCCCCCTTTCCAGAGGAGTGAACAGTTCTGTCTCACTGGTGTTCCAGGTACCACTGGGATATGGAAAAAAAAACTGCTGCTGCCAGCTTGGTGTTTGCCCAAATAACTGCCCAGTTTTGTGTTTGAAACCCAGGGCTCTGGTGGTGTAGGCACTGGAGAGAATCTCCTGTTCTGCTGGTTTCAAACACTGTCGGAAAAGTGCAGTATCTGGGCCAGAATGCACTGTTCTTCCCGGTACAGTTTCTCACAGCTTCTTTTGGTTAGGGGAGGAAAATCCACTGCTCCCTTGCACTTCCCAGGTGAGGTGATGCCCCACCCTGCTTTGGCTTGCCCTCAGTGGGCTGCACCCACTGTCCAGCCAGTCCCAGTGAGATGAACCTGGTACCTCAGTTGGAAATGCAGAAATCACCCACCTTCTATGTCGATCTTTTTGGGAGCTGTAGACTGGAGCAGTTCCTATTGGACCATCTTGCCAGCAGACCCAGCCATTAGCTCTTCAAATGCAATCTACTTCTGTTTTTCTGTGTTTTTGGGTACCAGTTATGCATTATACTTCATCAGTGTATCCTCTTTTTGGAGAAGTATGTCTTCTGTATTTTTTCTGAATGCAGCATAAAGAACTGAAAGAATCATCTTCCAAAAGATAACAGTTTATTAATGTCACATGCCTTTCACATTATACAGTTAAATATTTCCTTCATTCTGTGATGGAGGGTTGGCAGGACAGAGTGTATGTGTGTGTGTGCGATATGTGTGTAAAGTCCTAGAATGCTTTATTTCCAGAGGAGAACATTATAAGATAGGGTTTATTCAAATAATTCTTAAAGTCAGCTAACTAAGAAGTTATGAAGTTTTGATACAGGAATGACCTCAATTGCCCTGAAAGAGTAGTGGATTCTTTTAAATATAATTTTCCTTAACTCCTATTGTACTTTTTGTGTTTTTTCATTTAGGCAACTCAAATTTTTTAATTGCCAATTTCTGCTCCTTTTGATTCTACAAAAGAAACTATGTTTCCAGTAACCCCTAAACCCCAGGATTCCAATCAACCATCAGACAGATTCATGACTGAAAAACAGGTAAACTTAAAATATTTTAAGCCCTTGCTTCTCAAAATATGTGTCAAAGAATGCTACATCTACAAATGGGAAAATCTAACTTTAAAAGGGTTCTTTCATCAAATAATTTTGGGCAATGCCAGGTTAAAAACTATTAAATGGTTTAATTACTCTAAGACTTCACAATATTATCAGTCTCCAAAGGGAGGATTTAGCATACAACATTTCATACTATTTAACACTAGTTTGATGAACATTTCACTAGACTAGTGTTCGTAGCATGTACTTTGGAAAATGCCATTCCCAACTATTTTCAGAATTTACAATTACTTTATCTTAAAATGACAGCAGTATCAGGGAATAATATATATAAGCTAATCATTTAAAATATGTGACTCTATTATGTATGGAGCATTTTTTTGTTTTGTTTTGTTTTTGAGACAAAGTCTCATTCTGTTGGCCAGGCTGGAGTACAGTGGCATGATCTTGGCTCACTGCAGCCTCCACCTCCTGGGTCCAAGCTAAGGCAGGGTTTCACTGTGTTAGCCAGGATGGTCTCGATCTCCTGACCTTGTGATCCACCTGCCTCAGCCTCCCAAAGTGCTGGGATTACAAGTGTGAGCCACTGAGCCCGGCCCAGAGCATTTTATTTTCATGAGTTACAGTAGATGTTCTGAGACACTAACAGAGCTTTTAAAACAAACATCAGTGATAATTTTAGTTGTGTCCACCACAGAGTTAAACTGTGATCAGAAAGCCTAAAGCATAAATGAGGGAAAAGTTATGAGTGGTAGGAGATGTTTAAAAAAAAAAGGAGGCTGGACACAGTGGCTCATGCCTGTAATCCCAGCACTTTGGGAGGCCAAGGTGGACGGATCATGAGGTCAAGAGATAGAGACCATCCTGGCCAACATGGTGAAACCCCATCTCTACTAAAAATACAAAAATTAGCCGGGCATGGTGGTGCATGCCTGTAGTACCAGCTACTCAGGAGTTTGAGGCAGGAGAATCTCTTGAACCTGGGCAGAGGCTGTGATGAGCCGAGATCATGCCACTGCACTCCATCCTGGCAACAGAGCAAGAGTATCTCAAAAAAAGGAGGAAAAAGTCAATAGTCAAAAGGGAAGATTTGTTTGACTTTGAGAGTATCTTTCAGGGTGATTCTATTAAGAGTCATATATCCAGATGGATGGGTTCCTTTTGACAAGGAGCTGTCTGAAATATTGGCTCCAACTAGTCAGGTATGTTTTGATTTTTCTGTGACCCTAGTCATTATGAAAGTGATACTTATAAGTGACTCACCTTTTCTTTACTATTCAATTATTATAGCCTAGTTTACAGCTGTTTTTTTCTGGGCAGGGCTTGGTGTGGTTTAATTAAATCTAAAACCTTACTTAGATTTATTTGATTCACTGAAATTGCAAGGTGTTTTGTTGTTTGTTTTGTTCTTTGAGGCCTACATATAAGTGTTCTGTATAATGCAATAATTTGTGCTTATTTATATACTTCTAGTCTAATTTTGCTAGAAACAATAAATGTGTTGTTTTGATATTATGTATGCATAAACATTTATACTTAAAACCTTTGGAGAAAAATTTATATTCCGAAAATGCAGGACATTATATATGAGAGAATTTCTTCACTTTATATCTTAAAGTTGACCCTTTTTCCTCTCTGTATAATTGTAGCAGGAAGAAGCAGAATGGGAAAGCATAAATGTGTTGTTGATGATGCATGGCTTAAAACCTTTGTCCCTAGTCAAAAGAACAGATTTCAAAGGTAATTAGATCCTATTCTTGCTGCTTAAGGTAAAATGTTTATTTTTCTTTAAAAAAATTTTTATGTTAAAATTTTTTTGCCTTATATTTTTACTATCTGTATTATATACGTTTTAAATGTAGATCTCATCATTTTTGACAAACAGTCATCACAAAGGATGAGACAGAATTTGAAACTGTTGGTGGAAGAAACATCACGTCAACAGAACATGATACAGGAGCTTATAGAAACAAATCAGCATCTTAGGTAATAAAATGGAAAAGGTTTCTTTTGAATTGTTTGTATGCATTCTAAAAATAACTGCCTTGAAAACAATCTTGAAATTTAATTTCCAGTTTTGATTAAACTAAAAAATATTTTTTGAGGTAAAATTTTAATAGGTAAATCTTTTGGTAATAGCATAGATACTTAATGGTACCCTACATTTCTTCTATTAGTTTTTGTTGCAGGTTGAGCATCTCAAATCTGAAAATCTAAAAGGCTCCAAACTTTGAAACTTTTTGAGCACCAATATGATGCTCAAAGGAAATGCTTATTGGAGCATTTTAGATTTTGGATATTCAGATTTGAGATGCTTAACTAGTAAATGTGATGCAGTATTCCAAAATCTGAAAAAAATCTGAAATATGAATCACTTCTGGTTCCAAGCACTTTTTTTTTTTTTTAATTTTTTATTGGATTTTAGGTTTTGGGGTACATGAGCAGAGCATGTAAGACAGTTGCGTAGGAACACACATGGCAGTGTGCTTTTCTTTCCTTCTCCCCTTCACCCACATTTGGCATTTCTTCCCAGGCTATCCCTCCCCACCTCCCCCTCCCACTGGCCCTCCCCTTTTCCCCCCAATAGACCCCAGTGTTTAGTACTCCCCTTTCTGTGTCCATGTGTTCTCATTTTTCATCACCCACCTATGAGTGAGAATATGCGGTGTTTCATTTTCTGTTCTTGTGTCAGTTTGCTGAGGATGACGTTCTCCAGATTCATCCATGTCCCTACAAACGACACAAACTCATCATTTCTGATTGCTGCATAATATTCCATGGTGTATATGTGCCACATTTTTCCAATCCAGTCTATCATCAATGGGCATTTTGGTTGATTCCAGGTCTTTGCTATTGTAAACAGTGCTGCAATGAACATTCGTGTACATGTGTCCTTATAGTAGAACGATTTATAGTCCTTTGGATATATACCCAGTAATGGGATTGCTGGGTCAAATGGAATTTCTATTTCTAAGGCCTTGAGGAATCGCCACACTGTCTTCCACAATGGTTGAACTAATTTACACTCCCACCAACAGTGTAAAAGTGTTCCTTTTTCTCCACATCCTCTCCAGCATCTGTTGTCTCCCGATTTTTTAATGATCGCCATTCGAACTGGCGTGAGATGGTATCTCAATGTGGTTTTGATTTGCATCTCTCTGATGACCAGTGACAATGAGCATTTTTTCATATGATTGTTGGCCTCATATATGTCTTCTTTTGTAAAGTGTCTGTTCATATCCTTTGCCCACTTTTGAATGGGCTTGTTTGTTTTTTTCCTGTAAATCCGTTTGAGTTCTTTGTAAATTCTGGATGTCAGCCCTTTGTCAGATGGGTAAACTGCAAAAATTTTTTCCTATTCTGTTGGTTGCCAATCCACTCTAGTGACTGTTTCTTTTGCCATGCAGAAGCTGTGGAGTTTCATTAGGTCCCATTTGTCTATTTTGGCTTTTGTTGCCAGTGCGGTTCCAAGCATTTTAGATAAAGAGAATACAAAAACCTTTAGAAAGTCAATATGTTGTTATATGGATATGTTTGGTAATTTGATTTATTTTTAAATACTAAGGGAAGAAATTATATGTCTCTTAACTTAGAAATGAACTTCAGCTAGAGCAAAGCCGAGCAGCCCATCAAGAACAACGAGCTAATGACTTGGAACAAATTATGGAGAGTGTGAAATCCAAAATTGGTGAATTGGAGGATGAATCACTAAATAGGTTTTGCCAGCGACAGAATAAAATAAAAGATCTTCAACAGGAGCAGAAAACTTTACAGGTACTGAATTATGAATTCTTAGATGATGGTTAGTACTAAAACAGCTAATTATGGTCTCAGGTAACTTGCGTGTTGCTTAATTTAGTGGTTTTTACCTTTTTTGGCCTATCACTGCTACTTTGAAATTCCCTTCGCTTGGTTTCCAGAATATCCTCTTTGTTTCCCTCTGACCTCACTGATCATTCTCTAATTTCTTTTGCTGTTTTTTTTTCTCATCTCCCTCACCTCTTGGTATTGGAATTCCCCAGTGCTCAGTCCTTAGATCTTTTCTGTTTCCTGTATACTCTGATTCCCTTGGTGATCTCAATCTAATTTGGGATCTGAAATTTCTATCTATAGCCCAGTCCTCTCCCCAAATGCCAGACTCAAATCTAGCTGCCTACTTTATATCTCTACTGGATATCTAATAGGAATCTACAACTTTGTTTATTTACTTTTTTGACACAGCTTCTGGCTCTATCACCTAAGTTGGGGTGCAGTGGTGTAGTCTTGGCCCAATGCAACCTCTGCCTCCTGCACTCAAGTGATTCTTCCACCTCAGCCTCTGGAGTAGCTGGGAATATAGGTGCATGCCACCATGCCTGGCTAATTTTTATATTTTTTATAGAGACAGGGTTTTGCCATGTTACCTAGGCTGGTCTTAAACTCCTGAGCTCAAGTGATCCACCCTTCTAGGCCTCCCAAAGTGCTGGGATTAGAGGCGTAGGCCACTGCACCTGGCTGGTGGCATCTACAACTTTTTATGTCTAAAACTTCTTTTTGTAGAAATGGCAACTTTATAACATTAAATAATTAACTCCCTAATTTTAAAAGCTATTAAAACTTCGGTGTTTATTGTGATGAAAGAAAATGAGTCTTTTGTGCTGGTAACTGTTTAGTTGCATGAGGTGTTTCTGATCTTTACTAACGTACCATTTTAAACATTAAGTCCTTATTTTAGTGGTTTTGCTGACACAACACTATATATACCTTTGCATATGTAGGTTCAGATTACCTAAAAGGGAGCAGTATTCATCAGGCAAAGTCTAGAATTCCCCTCAGTGTATGCTGCCAGTGTTGGAGGTATCAAGTGAGTTAGCATAAATTCCATGGAGTTTGAGAGACTCTACCAGAGATACTATGGAGCTCTAGTATGAGGATAGAGGCAGTTGGTACACTATCCTCATTTATGCTGCCAGCTTGGGGCAGGCAGTACTAGAGCTGCTGGTATTGATCATAGTTTCAGAGAAGACATTGCTGGACAAACTCCTTTACCATTAGAATGTTGTATTTTTAGACTGGCTTTGTTAACAAGGTTGCTTTCTTCATCAATAGTGTATTTATAAAATCATGCAGTAGGCTGGGCCCTAGAACTCCCAAGAGAATATGCCCTTTGTCTTCAGCTACCAGAGTGGGTAGAGAGGGACTATCAGGTGGGGGCAGGGTTAGGTGTTTCTGAACTCAGATTCTCCTTAGGTGGGGCTTGCTGCAGCTGCTGTGGGGAATAGGGGTCTGGTTCCCAGGTAAATAGAGTTATTTTCCCAGGAGGATTATGGCTGTCTCTGCTGTGTCATGCAGATTGTCAGGAAAGTTGGGGAAAGCCGGCAGTTATAGGCCTCACCTAGTTCCCATACAACCCAAAAGGCTGGTCGCATGTCACCAACAGCACCAAGTTCATTTCCAGGCAGTGGGTGAGCAGAGCTGAGAACTTGTCCCAGGCTACCAGCCTCCCAGCTGAGAAAGCAAGCAGGGCTTCCGTGGCTCCCCATTTGTCAAATCTGTACACTGGATTTATTCTTGCCCTTCCCCAAGTTCTGGCCAGGAAACTTCATGTCAGATTGGAGTTGTTAGAAAGTTCAGCTGGGGGTTTCCTTCTCTATGTGGTCTTTTACCAGCTTCCCTGGCAGCCTTTCCAAAGGGCCCCTGTGAGACAAGTCAGAAATGGCTTCCCAGGGGACCCAGAGATCCCACAGGGCTTTTCCCATTCCTTCCTCTACCCCTTTATTTTGCTCAGCTCTCTAATTTGACTCAGTTACAGGTAAGGTCAAATCCTGTGCCATGAACTAGACCTTCAGGTTCCCCAGTGAGGATGTATATTCAGGAGTAGACAATCCCACCTTTCCCACTTGCATAGCTTGGGCATTCACAGTATTTGGGGTGTCTCCTAGGTCCTGCAGGAGCAATCCACTTCCTTGAGAGGTCTGTGAATTTTCTCAGCTTTCCTGGTATATTCCTGAAGTAGTTTTGGAGCAAAAGTTTGTGGTATGAGTCTCCACCCACTGCTCTATTCATTTGAGTGGGAACTGCAATCTAGTCCTGCCTCCTATCTGCCATTTACCCCTAGCATTTCCATGTCTTGTTTCTTTAAGCTGTAGTTCATGGTGTCTTGTTTCCTTATGTGCCTGCTTATCTGCATATGCAAGGAATAGTATTTTTAAAAGTATTGATGGGAATTATTCGAAGCCTAAGATTAAGGCATCTTATTCCAAAGAGCAAGCTGGGTCACAACCTGGCTTCCAATCTCCTGGATATAACCAAGGAACCTCAAGCAAGATCTTAGTTTAAGGAGTTGGAGAAATATTTTTATTTATTTATTTTTTGAGATGGAGTCTTGCTCTGTCTCCTAGGCTGGAGTGCAGTGGCACTATCTTGGCTCACTGCAACCTTTGCCTCCCGGGTTCAAGCAATTCTCCTGCCCCAGCCTCCTGAGTAGCTGGGACTACAGGCGCTCACCACCACACCTGGCTAATTTTTGTATTTTTAGTAGAGACGGGGTTTCACTATATTGGCCAGGTTAATCTCGAACTCCTGACCTTGTGATCCGCCCACCTCAGCCTCCCAAAGTGCTAGGATTACAGGCATGAGCCACCGTGCCTGGCCAGAAATGACAGTTTATATATATCATTTGACATAAGAAAATAACAATCCTCTTTAGAGGAAGATGCCATGCACATACCATGCAGGAAACCCAAAGAAGTGAGTTTAGCTTTGGGGGCTACAGTTTCCCCCAAGGGTGTTTTGGGATTTTTGAAAATTAAGATGATTGTATTTTTTTTTCTTTATTGTGTTAATGTGGTGTATTACATTGATTGATTTTTCTATGTTGAGTCATCTTTGCATTCTAGGGATAAATTCCACCTGGTCATGGTATATAATCCTTTTACTGTGTGTTGAATTTGGCCTGCTAATATTATGTTGAGGATTTTTGCATTCATATTCGTAATAGATATTGGTCTATAGTTCTCTCCTTTTTGTAGTATCTCTGGCTTGGTATCAGGATAATGTTGGCCTGGTACAGTGAATTAAGAGATATCCAGCTGATTTTTGTATACAGTAGTTCCCCCTCATCCATGGTTTTGCTTTTTGTAGTTTTAGTTACCTGTGATCAATTGCAGTCTGAAAATATTAAATGGAAATTTTCAGAAATAAATAGTTCATAAGTTTAAAATTGTACACTATTCTGAGTAGCATGATGAAATCTCATACAATCTTGCTCAGTCCCATTCAGGACATGAATCATCCCTTTTCCACCTTATCCACACAGTATATGCTACCTACCCATTAGTCACTTGGTAGCTTCCTTGGTTATTAGATCTACTGTCGTAGTATCACAGTACTTGTATTCAGGTAACTTAATAATGGGCCCAAGGTGCAAGAGTAATGATGCTAGCAATTTGGATATGCCAAAGAGAAGCTGTAAATGCTTCCTTTAAGTGAAAAGGTAAAAGTTCTTGGCTTAATAAGGAAAGAAAAAAAATTGCTGAGGTTGCTAAGATCTATGGTAAGAACGAATCTTCTATATTTTCCTGACATGGGAAAAAAGAAATTAATGCTAGGTTTGCTATCACACCTCAAACTGCAACTGTTATGGCCACAGTGAGTGATAAGTGCACAGTTAAGATGGAAAAGGCATTAATTTGTTGGTGGAAGTCATGAACAGAAACTCATATGTTCCAATTGATGGCAATTGAATTCAGTACTATTTGAGATTTTGTGTATCCACTAGAGGTGTATCCCCCGTGGATAAGGAGGACTACTGTATTGCTTTTCTATCCTACAGTTTTACAAAACTCAATTTCTAGTTCTAGTTTGTGGCTTAACTTGTAGTAACAGGTGGTGTTGACACCCTCATCACTTGGCTGCAGAGGCCCTGTCTAGCTTCTAGGGAGGGCTGAGGCGGAGGATCCAGTTTTTGTTTCATTTCATTATTTCATTTCAATTTCATTTCATTTTTCATCCTGTAAGATTAAATAGTATCAGAAACTGAAAACCTTTTTTCCTTCTGAGGATTGCTAAGTCTTAGCAAACATTACACCATGGGCACATGAACATGTCCTTAGATATGGGTGTCCTGTTCTGTAAGAGACTTTTGTCAGTATTATGCAGGCCAAGTAGGGAAAAGCGTTTTCATTGAGTCTTTTTCATTTATGAAAAGTATATTAATAATAAGGGTGATAGTGTTTTTCGTTTTTTTTGTTGTTGTTGCTTATTTGTTTTGAGACGGAGTCTTGCTTTGTCATATGGGCTAGAATGCAGTGGTGTGATCTTGGCTTACTGCAACCTCCACACCTCCTGGGTTTAAGCAGTTCTTGTGCCCCAGACTCCTGAGTAGCTGGGACTACAGGCACGTGCCACCATGTCCAGCTAATTTTTGTATTTTCAGCAGAGATGGGGTTTCACCATGTTGGCCAGGCTGATCTTGAACTCCTGACTTCAGGGATCTGCCCACCTCAGCCTCCCAAAGTGCTGGGATTATAGGCATGAGGCACCACGTCTGGCTGTGATTGTGCTTTTTGATAATGAGCTTTAAAAGGACACTGAGGGATAGAAACTAGAGAATAAGGGGAAACCGGGCAACTGATTATCTTGCTGATGACAAGAGAATAAATTGTTGAAGATATATATTCCTTTTATAAATCTTAGGGTACATACTGATTCTTTTTTATTGATACATAATAGCTGTACATACTTTCATGCTACATGAGATATTTTGACATATTTATATAATGTGTAATTATCAA